ACACACACACACACTGATAACCAGAGGCTATTTAGACCACTCTCGTCGGCCAGTCAGCTTGAGTATTGCATGCCAGATTCCGTGTGTGTGTGTGTGTGTGTGTGTGTGTCATGGCTCCTCTTCCCAATCCTATTTCAAAGCTATTTTCCTCTTCTACTCCCAAACTCTGCACCGACTCAATTAGGCGGCTGCACCCTTCCATAGCCGTGGGTCTGAAATTCCATTTGAATGTGATGATTTTGTGTGTGTGTGTGTGTGTGTGTGTGTGTGTGTGTGTTTAACAGCTTTAACACCTGCTCTTTCTATACACCAGCCTCAGCCAAAGGCCAAGATACAATCACTCATTTTCTCTCATACAAGAAGCACACGCACACACACCGTCGGTGTTATCTAGTGGTTAAACAGGAGATATAGACAGCTGTTCAGCTAAAGTTCAGTAGTCAAAGCAGTTACATAAACCTGACCTCAGTGCAGCTGGGAGCACAAAACCTCTGCAGTGCGTGTTTGTGTGTGTGTTCTTGCCAGGTTGATATATTGAAAGCATAACCTGCCCACCTGTTCTCTGGGTTTTAACCTGAGACCTCATTAGTACACTGTGTTTTATTTCCACTACATTACCTGCACAATATACTGTGTTGCTCTGTGTTTGTGTTGGTCCTCTGAGTATGAATCTATGGTATGTGTGTTTATCTGTGTGTGTGTGTCTTCAGACATGCACATGATGTAGTGATTTCCAATAAATCCAATCGATAGGAAGAGCAAAAACAGAACTGAATGAATACCGAGCCTATAGGGAAAACAACAGTTTTTCTAAAGCTCACTGTGACTTACACTGCTTCCCTCTCTCTCGCCTTGCTCAGGTACGACTATGTGGAGGTGCGAGACGGCGTCGACGAGAGCGGTCAGCTAGTGGGGAAGTACTGCGGGAAGATTGCTCCCTCTCCGGTCGTCTCCTCTGGAAACCAGCTTTTCATTAAGTTCGTGTCTGACTATGAGACGCACGGGGCAGGTTTCTCCATCCGCTATGAGATCTTCAAGACAGGTGGGTGGCCGAGCACAGCTGCAGCTTCACTTTGTCCAAGACAAACTACTTTACCTACTTTTTTTAAAGCTCCAAGGAACTTTTATTTTGTATTGTTTTTGACGGTCCCTGTGGATAAAAGTGATATTGTTTCCGAGCACCAGGGTCCTATTAGAAAACCTCTCATTTTACTGCAGCAGGGTCTTAATGTAGGTCATATAGAGGCATCGATATTAAATTTAGACTGTCTCATAACTAATTAAAAGTTCCTCACTGTAACTTTAAATTTAACAACCTGAGCTCTTAAAATAGCCTTTGAGTTCTAAGGTTAGGAAAACATTGTAACAAGCCATACATCACAAGTAATTTCAATCTGCTTTGTTTTAGCTGACGCTGTCACGTATACGCCATGTAACACATTAGGAAAACTGTAGGAATAATTGTGATGATGGAGCAAGAAAGAGCCTCTCCGTCTAGTTTCATGGTTTGTTTGTGATTTAGTCAAGGCACCAGAGCGTCAAATTATACACTTGCAATATGGCAGGCAATATGCTCCGTTCAAAACCAATGAATCATAGTCCCATATGTTCCATAATTTTAGCAGTTTTTATCTGGTATGAATGATTGTACAATAAGCAAGGGCATAATTAGCTGAGCAGTGGTTCGACAAATGTTTTTTTCAAGTGTTGGTTTACCATCAGATGGCAATCCACGGCGAGGGTATGAGCATCCCATTATAACTGCAGGCTAGCTGGTTGTGGAGAAAGTGAATTCAGGCCACTGAACTGGGTTGAGGAAGTGCTTTCACTGCAGTGGTATCCAATCAGTTGGAGGTTCCCACCTAAAAATAAGTCCTCTTGGTAAATTAGTCTGGAATCATGTGCGATAAACCACAGATATCCTCAGGGGATGTCTGTCTTATCAGAACACAGCACCCCAGGAGGAAGGATTTCCTGTTGGGTGGCTGCCGTCCTTTGTTTGGACTGGAAGGAGGAGGAGGAGGAGGAGGAGGAAGACAGCACATATCTGGAGAGTGACTTGTAGGCAGACAGGTGCTACAGACTCCACTTTCATTAATTAACCTTAGCGGCAGTCAATGGGACAGCCCTCCCCGTGACCTCCGAGACATGATGAATGTCCCTGCGAGGTTCCCTCCTTCCTTTGTAATCCGGGCCATGTTGAGCTTGTGTTTGTGTCTCTGGGCTTGCGCACGTCACCATCACGACAGGGCAGCTGGCAGAGTGCGGCTCCGTTTACAAGATCAAAAGCGGCACTCCACCCCGACATGTGCAAGCTCATCGGCATACACTCCCTCTGTCCCCCTCGATAGGCCCATTAAATCAACCACATTCTACCCATGATTAGCTTGGTGTTTCCCAATCTCATCTATTAGCCGGGGCTAATTATAAATGAGGCGTGTTAGGGGCCCAGTGGCGATAGGGGAACTGCTGAGCACACTCATAGGGCACTGAGATATGAGCGAGTACATATCTAGCAAGAAATGTGTATGGTAGTGCAGATAGAAGATAGAGAGTCAGGACTCGAGAGTTGGACCTCGATAAGGATCTTTATGGAATTCAAAGGGGACTCAGCACTTGGGAGAAAAGGGAGCTCCAGGAGCATCACTGTAGCTCAAACCCAGGACAGAACCTTTTCATCTGGGTGTTGTACACCTAGCGCCCCCCGGCAAAGAAGAGCGCCATGGGTGTGCCGTCGCTCCCTATAGTGGATCCAGGCCCCTCGTTATGCTCTGAGTTTACTCCGTGTTTTGACTACTGCGGCACCGGCTGCCGCCAAGAGCAGTGCTCTGAGATCAATTAACAGCCCTGTTTGTGTGTGCGAAGCCAAGCAGAAAGAGGGATTCAAAGCTAGTTGATTAGCACAGCTTATCAACGAGCAGGGTATTAGCAGGGAAAAAAACATTGTGTTGGCTAACACGTGTAATGTTAATGATGATACACAGATGCTCTGATAACGGCTGGAGGAACGGGAGGCTCGCGCTTGTGCATGCCAATGAGGGGAAATGCAAAGAATGCAGGCTGTTTATCACCGCGATTACAGGCGTGGAGATCAGTGGGAGTCAACCTCGGGGACGGCACCGCCTTTCATCTGGGGTTACGTGCAAGCAAAGGTCACACGGAAGATAAATATAACCGCATAGCAAACATATGCAAACACTTACTCCCCTCAGGGATCCAGCTTATACAAGCATGTTTACATGTGCAGGTTTTACCCACTTAGACTGTAAACTATGTAAATACACTTTCACACACACTTCAGCACGCTGGCGTTCGAAGCCCTGGCTTTCATCAACAGTAGCCTGCGAAGTGTCTAATTGGAAGAGAGCAGGTTGTTTTGCGGCTCTCTCTGGCCGCTTCCGTGTCCGTCTCTGCCCCACTCCACTCCTCAGTCCCATCCAACCATCTTAATTAGCATGGGCAATTTATTTTATAGCCTGCAAATTGGCAGCCGCGCTCTGCTGGCTGAAGTCTGGCAGGAGACGGGAAGAGCGTAGTAGATGGTGGGGGAGGAAGAGATGGAGAAGCGGGGTAGATGAGGGATAGTTGTGCTGAAGGCAGCTCCAAGATTAGCAAGCTGGTTGTGTTTGTGTGTGTGTCTCTGCGGAGGCCTTCAACTTTATAAAATGGTTCATCAAACAAAAAAATAACAGCTGGGCAAACTATGGCCTTGACTTGATAAACCACCACCAGTATGATGAAAAATCAGGAGAGTAAAGTGGGATGAGGCCGGGTTACCCTCCACCAAGATCCTGGTGCTTCAGCAGAGAAAGCTGTGTTTATCCCGTCATCTGACAGTATCTCTTTTAAAATCCTCGAGTGTTTCTGAAAAAGATCCGTCCTCTTAAGTACACATGCACAACATATGTTTTCCCTTAACGGCTCTGCGTTAGCTTTGAGCCACATCAAGGCTGGCCGAGGGCCCATTGAAGTGGGCAAGGAGATAGAGCTAGTGACGGCCCTCCCTCCCACTCACACAGGCTCATCCCTGTCTCCTCACGATTACTCAGCAGGATGACTAAGTCTATTGGACGGAGGCCTGAATAACGCTTAAAAACACCATCTTTTCACGCGACAGCCCCGTTTATCATGTCACTGTGATGCGGGCCCTTTGACTCGGAGCACGCACCTGTGAAAACACTCTCAAGGTGTGCGCGTGTGTGTTGGGTGGGGCCTAATAGGGGGCACGCTCTGCTTTCATGGACGGCACGCCCTGATGGCATAGGTCACATCTGGCATGGAGACGTACTGTCATCACACACACACACACACACACACACACAGCCCTCATGGAAACCTAAGACAACAAATCTCTTTAAGGGAAGCCAGAGGGAGACTATGAGCCCCCCCGGCCCCCCATCCCATCAGCACTGTGTCATCCCTCAAGTAGCAACGTCACAGGCACAGTCAGAGCGCTGAACAGCATGTCAGTAATCCAGTGCCTCGGGGTGTGTGTAAGGGTAAATGTAAACCTCCCTTTTTCCATCTGTCACAGTGAGGGACACTCCGCAGGCTTCAGGTTAATGTTTGATTTAGTGTTGAAAGAGTTAATTCTCCACCGACCATTAACCCCTCCGTCCGCGTGGCATACGGATAGAGTGGAGGGGAGGGGAGGGGAGGTATGAAGGGTGGTGGAGGGCTGTGATCTGGGCTAATGATCAGCCGGAGAGCAACATGGAATATAAACAGTGGTGATTTAGTTAGCGCTCCAAAAACAACACCTTCAGCCCCTTTGGCTCCGGCCTCTAATAACCCGGAGAGATGAAAAGATGGGGAAAAAAAAGAAAGAGGAAAAGCGAGAGAGAGAGAGAGAGAGAGAGAGAGAGAGAGAGACAGATTAAAGAATGAAAATAGCAAGAGGCTGTCACATTTAACACCAATTCCTTGGCGCAATGTTGTTGTAGTGATTAACGCCCAGTCTCTGGTCCGCTCTCAGCACTTTAAAGCAACAGCTTAATAGAGACATAGAGGACAAGTCATCAGGGAGACTAACAGTGGAAAGGCGCCCCGCTCCATTCATGTTGAAACCATATTTATTTAAGATTTGTATCGATCTCTTAACACTTGCAAAGACTGAAATCAGATCCCCATTAAATATAATTTCGCCGGTTATGGCTTGACGTGTTAAACCAACTCTGATCGCTCAGTCGGAGTGACATCTGTTTACTCCCCCCTCCAGAGGAGAGGGGGGGCTCAATGTAAACTAGAGTAAAAATAATCCATTACTCCGAGTAAATGTTTGAGTGCCTGGTTTGAGGTTGCCGGTAAATGTTCAAGGTTACTTCTTTTTCTCTCCCTCAACTTCCTGTCGTAAACTCAGCTGTTTGTTTTAAAGCAGTGGTTCAGACTACATCAGGCCGAACTGATTTTCTTGGATGAAATGGGACAATCTAAGTGTATGATCCCTGTGAGTATTACCTGAGTCAAACCTTTCATATTTACAAAACCCTTCCTGTTTCCAACCCCCTTCCTATTGGGACGACAAATACGCCAGCAACGGCGACAAACACTGCGATAAAACAGAGGGTGAAGAAGGGGCAGGGATGTGGCTTCGGTACGGATGCTGCCACAGGAAAGCTTGACTGCTATCACCGAACGCCTCTCGCGAGGACATCAGCGCAATGCATCCTGGGTATAGCTTGGGGACGTAAGCCTTTTCCCGCGTGGAGGCACTAGATAAAAGAGATCTGTCGGACGATTATCATGCCGGTGGGAGCGACCCGAGCGCTCTGTCTTCTCTCGCCACTCTGTTTTGTTTGTGATGTCTTGGCTCTGTCCTTTTCTTGACGGGCTGTGAACACAGCCAGGCACACAAAGGCTGACAATGGGGGAGTCTGTCCTTTGGCTCGGCCTCAGTCATCATAATTCGGAAAGAGTGCAGAAACAGGAAGACCCAATGGTGATGGTGATGAAATAAGTGTCTATACATACATTTCACAAATGCATTAATTTATTGTAGTGTCCTCAATTTGTAAGACTGAGCTTAATCCTGGCAACATTTTATGGAACATTTGCATCAGTCCAGGCATTATATTCGTCTATTGCCTGAATTCAAAGTGAACCATTCCCGAAGACCAAATCTGTTCCGGCCAACTGCTGAGCCGAGATAAGGGTCATGGTGGAGACTGATGAAATGGACGGAGAGCGGAGATCTGAGCCAATATCCACAGGAAATTCAATACGCCGACCTGAATTGCACTTTGGATACTGCAGCTGTCTAGAGCACTCGGGGACTCATGGGCGCCTGTTATTTTCAAAGAAGTGGCTCCCATCTATAGTTCCCCCCCCCCCCCCCCCAAAAAAACTGTCTGACATTTCTCCACAAATTCGGCGAGGTAAAGTGCAGAACTGCAGCATCCGGCAACCCTCTCATCTCGGCGAACGCTCACTCTCTCGACAAAAACCCTCTATTTTCCGGGGGTAAATACGAGGGGAAGCTGTGAAATTAATGGCGCCCACTGTTCTCGAAAAGCCACACTTTAGCGGCGGCACTAAATGTCAGCTCTCTTTAGAGTCAGAACGCCGCTCGCCGCAGCTTTCAACTTGGGGAAAGGGAAAATCAACATGTCTCTCGCTCCCTTCACTCACTCCTCGCCGGTGGACAGGCTGAAGTGGGTCCGATGGTCCTGAATTAGGGGCCCAGCGAGGAGCTTGAGTGACAGTGGAAAAAGCAGTTTGCCACATTTATTTAAGCTACAATGACTGTAGCGTGCAGGCTCTATCTAGCGATAACTCCCTGCAATTTTGGTTTCGATCGGCCCCATCTGAGCCCATCACGCGACTGTCAGACTAGCATGAAAATGGCATTATCCTGTGCACATTTCTGCCACTAATGGCTCCAAATAATTGCCCTCATAGTCCTCTTCTTTTTTTTTTCCTGAGTTTGTATGTGTGTGTGTGTCAAGCCAATGAAAAAGAAAAAGCCAGATAGAGGAGGGTTGAGAGACCCAGATGTAGCCTCAAGTAGAAGAACTATCTAGGTGGTCTCTGGTCCCGGGGCCGTAAACTGTCCTCCATTCAATAGACCAGCTGGGGGGCAGAGCTTCTCAACACCAACCACACAAAGCCTCGTTGAAACCGATCACTTAACCAACAGTCATTCAAAAGAATCAAAAGAATCCCTGTTGTGTCTCACCTTATT